TGGTTATATATAGCGCTTTGCACACTTATTAGAGCATGGCTACAATGCTTCTGGCTATAATAAACGTATTTAACCAGGAATGCTCCTTTATCGTCTCGTGCTGTTAAACTTTCACGTAAATGTACACTGTTTAATCTGGTTTACAGAAAGAACAGAATAAGCCCACGATCAGTATATTGGGAAGAAAAGTATGTTTTTGTAGCAATCAGGACTGATGTTGAATTTACGCTTAAATTGACCATTTTTCGCACGAGATAGGTAGGTGTAAAAGGTACATTAACTATACAAATGCTCGGCTGTTTTCGAATATTTCAGCCTTAACAGAAATCTTACGTATACTGGGTATGCTTCTGTTTTCTTTAAACCCTAGCGATGCTATCATTAATGTGTTTATCGCCTTAATATTTGGCTGGTAGCTAACGAGGTCGACTCGGTCATTTGGTTTTTGTTACTAGTGAAGACCTCTAAAATGACATGAGACGGTAATTGATGTACGAAGAAAAAGGAGACAGCACAATCCAGTAAGGTCACGAGGTCCGGCCCCCCCCAGCTGTGGGAGTGTGGCTAATAGCTCCTGTCTGGTTTAGCTTGGTTGAGTTGTATTTTTCGACTGTTTAGCCCAGTTAGATTCAAGCCTGCTGCTGTTCATTGTAACTCTGAATCAGGTTTATCTTATATATTGGAGACCAGTGGCCTGTACTACGAAGCGGGGTTACTGGCTTATCGGGGATTTAAGGTACCACAGTTTAAATGGACTTCATATTCTTTCACTTACATCTTGCCCAGACTACCTTAAATCCGACAAGTTACCCTGATAAGCCAGTAACCCTGCTTCGAAGTACAGGCCACAGGACTAGTTCAAACACTCTCAAGAGAACCAAGGGTTTATTTTTGAAGTCATCTGCTATCTTTCCACATCTTCAAGCATGTGTCTGTGGAGATGGTGCTGGGAAAGAAGACTTGTCTGTGCTTATCTTTCACTAGACCTGCAAACAGGTGTTGAGATGATAACTGTGTCCATATCCAGCATATTCTCTACCTTATAAAATGCTCACCTTTTCTCACTTTTGCATGCACAACCATAACCTGTATTTTGAATACTGAGCTTGCCCCAGTTTTAATGTTTTGTAATCATAAATGATAGACTTTTTTTCTATGATGCAATTGTCTTGGCGTAGTGCAGGTCTTCAGTGAACATTGCAACTTTTTGTTTGTTTTCTTAACTTGCAGGATTTTCGATATAGCCCTCACATTTATTCTTATGTCCTTGGTATGTTTTTATTTTAGGCTGAGCCAAAAGGTGTAGGGAGACGGCTTTGTGGCATTCAGCTGCCTGAAGAGATGAGTGCAGAGGAGCTATCGAAGGAGCTCCAGAGGGAGCAGGAGGAGTCCCTGAAGCGACCTGCCGAGGGGAATGGTGACTTGGGTGAAGATGGACACCTTGACAAGCGGCTGAAGCAAAGTCCGTCCAAAGAGTCCCTCACTGATGTGAAGAAATTCCCAAAGAGAAAAGTGGTTCTGCTGATGGCATATTCAGGCAAAGGCTATCATGGGATGCAGGTACCTCTAGCTTCTCCTCACAACACACCTCTCATTTGGCCATTCCCTCTCGCTTAATTTCATTCAATCTCAATTTCATGTTATGGTTCATCATGTTCTACTCTAGAGAAACGTTGGATCCTCCCAGTTTAAGACGATTGAAGATGAACTGGTCACAGCGCTAGTCAAGTCAGGATGCATCCCAGAGAACCATGGAGCAGACATGAAGAAGATGTCATTTCAGCGGTGCGCGAGGACGGACAAGGTACCTTTACATCACATTATGTAATGTCTGCCTTATTTCCTTAAGTAAATTAAAGGGGAAGTTCGCACCAATCATATCACTGCGCAGAAGACACGAGCATGAGCACTCCAGCGGTATCTGGGTATTCAGTGATATGATTGGTGTGTGGAGTTTGGAAGAAGAAAATAGTTTGTACATTAAACTGTGCACTACAAAGTCTGCGGATTATCTTCAATAACTGGGTCATTATTTCTGGTAAGAAACCTTGCAGTTGAATTTTTCAAGTGTATTTTCTTGTGCTTTAATCACCACAGAAAATGCCTTTCAGTCCCATTTTATTCGAGAGAACATTTCTATGGCTGGTATCTTTAAAACTAGGCAGCTCCCAACCTAGATGGATAGATAGCACTAAAGCCCTTCTAAAAAATATCTTTTATTTTCAGTTTTGGGGTGAACTGCCCCTTTAAGTAACTTGTATCCTTTAATAAACAAAGTTTTCATTTTGCACATTGTAAATGGAATGGACTGCATTTATATAGCGCTTTTCTACTCTTACGAGTACTCAAAGCGCATTGTCTGGTCAGGGTGTTTCTGCTGCAGGGCAGATTGTGTCTCTGAAGCTGTGGCTGATAGATGGCATCCTGGACAAGATCAACAGTCACCTGCCATCTCAAATGAAGGTTTTGGGTGAGCGATGTCTTCGGTTCATTATTCCTGTAAATGTGTTGTGTACTGTTGTGAAAACTACAGATGTTAAACATTATCAACATTAAAATTTATAGATTTTGCAGTGTTTTATGCAGTAGTGCAGAGGGTTCAGGGAAGCCATATGCATGCAGGAAAAATATTGTGAAATTACTATGCATATATTTAGTATGCATGTGTTTGTTTTTGCGTCAGTTAGTTATGGTTATGAACCTGTTGACTACATAAATCTTTTTACTTTTTCATTTGAAGGCTTAAAGCGTGTAACTGGAGGTTTTAATTCCAAAAATAAGTGTGACGCCAGAACATACTCCTACATGATGCCGACCATAGCCTTTGCTCCCAAGGAGCTTGATGTTTTGGATAACGGCTTCCGCATGGATGAGGGGACCCTGCAGATGGTGAACCGTCTACTCTGCCGCTTCAAGGGCACACACAACTTCCACAACTACACTTCCCAGAAGGGACCACGGGACCCCAGCGCCCGCCGGTACATCATGGAGATGGAGTGCGGGAAGCCCTTTGTGCGTCAGGGCCTAGAATTCGCCGTCATCCAGGTCAAAGGTCAAAGCTTCATGATGCACCAGATTCGCAAGATGATTGGGCTGGTGATCGCTGTAGTTAAGGGCTACGCCACTGTCAACATCCAGGACAGGAGCTGGGGTGAGGAGAAGGTGGACATTCCCAAGGTCCCCGGGCTGGGCCTGGTGCTGGAGAAGGTGCATTTTGAGAAGTATGATAAGCGTTTTGGGGGCGATGGCGTCCACGAGCCACTGGACTGGACTCAGGAGGCAGATAAGATTGCTGCTTTCAAAGAAGAGCATATTTACCCTACTATTGTGCAGACTGAGTTGGAGGAGAAATCCATGCTGAACTGGATGAAGACACTACCCATCCATGACTTTGAGGCAACTGCCACGGGGTTACAGGAGCACAAAGGCAGGACAGTGGTGAGTGGTGTTTTAATAATTGCGCAGAAAGAGTAATAAATGGATAACTAAGCCCCTATATTTTTTTAAAAAGATATGTATTAATTAGAATATGTAAATTATATTGGCTAGGATTCTTATTGGCATAAGCATAAGTGAAATCTTCCAGATTCTTCTTGTAATTTCTTTTTCAAGGAGGAGGATGATGATGACGACGACGATGGGCATGGATCTGATTAATTCTTCGTTGACATCAAGGGCCCTGAATCTTAAGAAACTCTATGTCTCTGGAAGCACTGAGTGCCAGTTTTTTTCACTCTTAAAAAAAAAATAATAATAATCTGTGCCTTTTGCATTTAAGTAAAACATGGCTATACTGCTGAAGTGCTTTGGCCATTCAATAGGTTACATATCACTGAAGACTAACAGTGAATACCACTATGCGATATTTTATGAAGATGTATAATTTCTTTGTACCTTGCTGAAATATTTTTAAAGTATGTTGGACTCATAATAAAAATGTGTGTATATAGATGCCTATATTTATACACATGCATATAATTTAAAAAACAAATGCCCACGGTTTGCAGTCATTATTTTTCATTTAAAATATATTGGTATCATAAGTAGTCTTTTTTTCGAATTATTTTTTACTGAATTATTTTTAAGCACTTAAGTTTGTTTTTGTTAGAGTATATTTGCACCACTTTGCTTTCTGTTTGAATGAACAGTTTCTTGAACTTTTAGTTTTTATGGTACATTTGTGAATTTGTAATTGTAAATTGTTTTTTTTTTTATGTAAGATGTACAGTGGGCACATATGGTGGGTATGTAGGATTTAAACCTCAGGATGCTATGGGTATAAAATTTGTAAGGAAACCAAATGCCCATTAAATTTTTTTTTCAAATATATATCGGGGTTTGTTTACCATATTGAATATACATGCCATTAATCCTTAAACATGGTGTATGGAGTTTGGTTGTACCGTGGCAGTATATACGTATAAAATAAATGGTCACTAAACCCAACATTTTAATGCGGAGTAAACTGAACGTGTACGTTTCATTCCTTTGTCATTCCGCACCAAATGTGTATCAAATTGGATATGATTTAAGGCTTGCTGGGTGAGTACACGTAATAGAATAACATCACCTAACATTTTTTCATTGTCGCAAGCGTATTTGTTTCATTGTTACGTTTTACACCTGATTGATGAAACGATTCACTGATAGTCGTGGGAAGTGTTAGACCCCGTTGCATATCCACAAGAAGCATAGGAAGGATACGTTGTACATTAGTATTGTTTCAATGTATTAAATATTGCTTTTAAAATTTATCCATTGTGCTATATACGCATAGTTTGTCATTTGCAATGGTGTTACATTATGCATATATTAAGTATTCCATACCAGTTACCTGTGTATAAACTGCGGAACCAAACCCCATGGAAGGTATTTCACTCGCATAATTCACTGCCATTGGAAGAAGTCAAAGGATTCCTTTATATGATTGGTCGTCGTTTGAGTCCGTTTTGTCGGAAGGAAGTCGGGTGGAATTACTTCCGGTTTTCAAAGAGCAGCGGACAAAAAAAAGCGGAGGCGCCGCCATGTTTTCAAATGGAGTGCCTCTCGTGCATTGTCTGTAGATAACGAATTACCACGTTTCTTGTCGTTGTAATTGTGTTACAGCTTATTATAATTTGTTACTGGAGGTTTAAAGAAGCCTTGTTGGTGCATGCAACTGTGGCAGCAGCTTCATTTGTTGTAGGTAAGAGTAAACCTGATGCTACGGGCTTTCGGCATCGGTAATGATCATGATGGATGCACCATCGTGCCCGCTGGTTTTATGGTTTATTTTTCTGACGTGGTGGAAGAACGGTCGAGACTTCATAATTTATGAGACGATGCAAATTACTCTTACGGTTCTGAAGAAGCTCTGTTTACCTATGTGGCTTTAGGTGTCTGGAGAGCGTGGTGGGTGTGTTACGGTAGGCGAGGCCTACTCCGCGCTGGTTTCCACGAGCGTGTCGTTAGCTGTGTTAGCTGGCCAGTTAGCGAGTTAGCTACACAATTAGCCGAGTTAGCTGTGACAGGAGCGGTCCGAACTGCCTGTGTCACATTTATTGTGGTGTCGAAAGATGAAACAGGGTGACACGCGCCTTTATAATATTACTGGTGGATTCGTAACATATAGCATTCCTTACCAAACTAGCGATTCTGTTTATTAGGAAGTTGGTGAATAAAAAGCTGTCAGTTTTAAAAACAAGTCTTGAATACTGAGTGATTCGCAACGCCCCGTCAAAAATGTTTAAAGCGTATCAGTGGCCTCTTCTGTAATGTAACTTTAATTGGCATGCCAACTTTAAGGGAGCAGTATCAGTCCGGACAACTACTGGAAGACCGGGGCAGCAGATGTTTCCATGCCGGTCTGTTTTTGTTGTGCCTATTTTTTCTTGGTTATGCCTCGGTTTCAGCTCTGGCACGAATTTGCAGTTGTATCCAGTAAACGAGTTTATCCGTAACATATATCGGCGTTTATGCTCATCAAACTACTTTTTTTTGCCTCGATTGATATGTTGATGAATGAATTTCCATGATTACTGACACTTGATCCCCAACTTATGTTTAGTCGTGTTAAAACGAGTGTCATCACATTTAAGTATAATGGATACCTGTAAAGAGATTCAATTTCACCGCATGTAGTCAATTAATAGTAATTTTCCGTGGTTTCCTGATGGTTAGATAACGTTTAAAACGCATCTGCAATTGTTAAAATAATCTAATTATTTTATAATTTGGGGATCTCTCTACATTGCTCCTGAAAGTTGTACATTTGAGTCTCAAAAAGGAGAGCATTTAACTTGAATAACTGTGGAAAAATGTCTTATAGTTTAGAAATGTAATTAACATTTTAAGTGAACCAGCCAGGGCCTGAACAGTAATAATATAAACATGAAGATGGATTGGAGTCCTGAAATGCTCTATATTCTGAATGATACATTTAATATAAATATGTAGTTTTGGTGAATTGTGTTGTCTAAATTTCCTATCATGTATGCACAAATGGCTGTTGATGGAATGATACTCTGTCCATGCTTTGCCCAGCTTCATGCTTCCTAAGATAACTTCCAGACTTACTGTGATGGACGGACGGACGGATGGATGATGTTGATCGGGGGTTGTGGGTGGCATGGTGATTTAGTAGCTAGCATTGGATCAGCAGTTAATGGTAAATGGGCGATTGGGAAAGCGGTATCACTAATTCATTAATCAGTAGTTAATGAAAAGCTAGTAGGTTACAGGTCTGTGGATTTGGAATGTCGTGGGTTCACATACCGCACGCAGCCGAGGAATCCTATCGTCCCTGAACAAAGGCTGTAACTGCAGCTGCTCCAGGGGTACTTAATTCTGGCTGGCTGTGCATGTTAACCCACAAAACTTGATCTCATCTGTATATATACATGTGTGTCTATCTATCAAGAAGGAAGATAATATAATGGAAAACTACCTTATTTCTCCATGGGAGTGAATAAACTTCTACTTAGCCATTTTCGTATGCGTCAGCTGGTGCTCGGTATTGACCTTGTATGGATTTTGACGTACCTTCTTCTTGCCCACAGGTGACTGTCTGACATTTTTCTCATTCCGCAATGCACCATGGGAGTGGGAGTCAGAACGTGCAGCGGCAGCTCCAGCGTTCGAAATCGTTCACGGGCGCTGAGGCGGAGGAGCAGCCTGCTCCGGTACCGCCACCTGCACAGCCCGGCCCAGCCAATCTGCCCCAGTCGCCGGCAGCATCATTTGCTGCTGCTGCCAGCCCCTCGGCACCTCAGTCACCCAACTACCAGATCATCATGAGTCGGAGCCCCGTGACCGGCCAGAACGTGAACATCACGCTGCAGAACGTGGGCCAACAGATCACCCTCACCCCACTGCCTCTGCAGAGCCCCGCCTCCCCAGGCTTCCAGCACTTCCCACGTATTGATCCCCCATCCTCTTCCTACATCCCGGTGGCCTCGCCGCTGCCGCAGCCCGTGCAGCCACAGAGCCCTACCCAGCACAGCCCCGCAGTCCTGCAGGGTGTGCAGCGGCCCGGGGCGGCCGCCACCACAGGACTGGGCGTGCGTGGCCAGAGCCCCACGCGTTTCGTGGAGGCTGGTGTGCTGGTGCGCCAGATCGGTCTGAGCAGTCCCTCCGGTGGTGCTGCTGGGCACTTCTTATATCAGGATGGCAGCGGATTGGCTCAGCTGGCCCCTGCTACACCTAGCCAGGTGGCCATGGCCTCACCCAGTGCCACCGGCACGGTGCGTGAGCGCCGGCTCTCCCAACCGCACTCCCATACTGGCGGCACCATTCACCATCTGGGTCCTCAAAGCCCAGTGGCCAGTGGGGCCACCCTGCCTACCTTGGGCAGCCCCGGTCACATCACCACCTCCAGTCTGCCGCCTCATATCAGCAGCATCATTCAGGGCCAGCTGGCGCGCCCTGTGTTGTTTGAGAAACCAACCCAGGGTATGCTGGCTGGCTTGGGGCCAGTCACAGCAGGGACAACGGCGACGTCCACCTTCGGTCTAACATCCACTGTGCCACCCTCCAGCCCGTCCCGCTCCAATCCTTCTGAGGGGGTCCCAAACCCACCCCTCACCTCTGCTGGGGTGGCCATAGGCTCGGTGAAGAAGCAACCCCGGAAACTGGAGGAGATCGCACCGGCCACCCCAGAGGTGGCCCAGCTGAGGAAGCAGTGTCTAGAACACCACAGCAAGAAGATGGAAGCCCTACGAGAGGTCTTCAAGGAGTACCTCATAGAGCTCTTCTTCCTGCAGCACCTCCAGGGAAACATGATGGACTATCTGGCCTTTAAGAAGAAACCCTGCGTGCCACTCTTCACCTACCTGCGGCAGAATGACCTGGACCTGGAGGATGAGGAGGAGGAAGAGGAGCAGTCTGAGGTTATCAATGACGAGGTAGCTAGGTTTTAAGTCTCCTTCACTGTTGGCAGCTTTGAGTTGGTGGTTCTTACATTTTTCTCCCAGTGAGATCGTGTTAAGCATGACTGGGTCACTTTCTCGCCGCCCTCCCCCCCCCCCCCCCCAGGTGAAAGTGGTGACGGGAAAAGATGGCCAGACGAACACTCCGGTTGCCATAGCGACACAGCTGCCTCCCAACGTGTCGGCAGCCTTCTCCACTCAGCAGCAGCAGTTCCAAGTGAGGACGCAGTGCTGTCCCACGCCTAGCTGCTACTTTCATAGGACAGATTTTTAACTCGCAGTCTCTGCCATCATAGTGTGCAGATAAATCAGCATTTGACTGCTCTAGACTGCTGCCATTATGGCTGAATAGCAACGACTTGCAAGTACCAGGAGTGAGAGCAGGTGTCTCAGGGTGACACTGCATGTGGCTCATGCTTTCAGGTGCATCAGGGAGCGACGGCCACTGGTATTGCAAACCCGGTTGACATTGAAGCCTTCAAAAGACAGCAGGTTTTGGCCCATGCAGGTAGGGCGATATGGGAATGTTTGGTGTCTTTTAATGTTTTTTGTTGTTTTTTTAATGTTTCTTTTTCTGGCTTCCTTGTCTGTTTTCCCCCTTTTTCCTTTTTTTTTTTGTGTTCCTCTGAACCGCTTCTGCTTTTAAAAACCCAGCACTGTCTTCGCGCGCTTTGCCTCAATGTCGCCGGAAGGGAACTCCGCATAGACTCCGAGTCGACTGCTTTGCGTTATGAGGGTATTGTGTGTTTTAAATCCCAGACCAGGCTAAGAGGCCCCGGATTGACGTTGGTCGCCATGGGATCATATTCCAGCACCATGGCGTAACTGCTTTAGGATCGCCCGGGGTTCCCCTACAACAGCTAATGCCGACAGCCCAAGGTAGGAGTGCTGCTAACAGCCAGGTCTGTGTTCAGTTCGGTGCAGCTGGAAGTAGCTCAACCCTCCAAACAAATCAGGCATACAGAATGCAGCCCATGGCGATATGGCGGATCTCAGCACCCCATTCTGGGGCAGCTCTAACATCGGCCGCTCTGCTGCTCGGAGGAAGTGCAGAGCTTCAGACCCCATGATCTCTGACATAATGCTAGTCTACCTCTGTCCTGGCAAGAGCAAAATACACAAAAAAAAAAAGAAGACAGTCAAGTCGGAAGACAAGGGATAGCACCCCCTCTCCCCTTCCACCAGTGAAGATGTCATGTTCTGTCTCCTTTTGTGTTGTACCGACCATTCACTCCATTGGCTCTTCCTTCCTTTTTGTGTTTTTTTTTTTTCTTTTTCTTTTTTCTGTTCATGGTTGCTCATGTTCCTCTTGTTTGGATGGACTTCCTGCAAATTCAGAGTGGAGTGGAAAGATTTGGCCAGCAAAAATCTTGGAAATGAGACACATTTGGCCACTGTGTGGGTTTGTTATGTATGTCCCCATTTTTCGCCTGTACCTTGACCCCACAGCTACCCTCCATGTCCACTTGTCCCCATCAAACTCATCGTGTCGTCCGGGATTCTTGGCACGTCCGAGTCCTTTGTCATCTAGCGGCTCGTGTCGTTCACCTGTGCCGTGTTCATCTTTCAGTTGGTTGTCACCATCTTCGTGTTCCCATCGCCTTCCGTTCTGACTTGGTTTCTCCTTCCTCGGCCATGTTGTGGGCGGGGGGGTAGGGCGGTTCGGTCTGTCGGCATTACTCCCATGTTCTTTGTACTGTTCCGGCCTGGAGGAAAGCTTCCATATTGGCGGACAGAGCATCCAATCAGTGTGTGAGGGGCGGGGCTTCTGACTATCCACTGCTCTGCACAGGCCTGTCCAATAGAACCCATGTCTGCTTGTCCATCATTTGCTTTGCAAAATCTGTTTTTGTGTTCACACAAAACGACAGATTTAAATGCAGTTTCCCTGCCAGAACGGTAGTACTACATGCATGCTAAACATTTTTTCCTGTGCTGACTGTCCTCTTTCCTTTTTGTCTCTTTCTGTAAGATTTATGTTCTGTCTGGCTAATTAAATTACTTGTGCATGATTACTTAGCCTTAACTGCCTATTAACTTTTGAAAATGGCTTTTGTTCTTTTTTTTCATGATTATGCTTTTAATTTAGTTGGCATAGACTGTAGTTTATTGTAGTTCATTCATGTCATTCCTTATATAACAGCCATTTCCTACAAGACAATGTCCATGAAACTTCACTATGTGCAGTAGTGTTATTTTAATTGGAAGGCACAGCACTTAGTCTGAGTTAACTTGCTTGTATATGCATAATATTCATACATTTCCCTTTTCAACAATTCTGTTCCAGATACAATAGCTGAGTGGTTAAATGTATTGTAAAAGTATTGTAGCTCATGGTAACATACAGTGAGAGCCAATGAGAACAGAAACTGTTCTGATGGAGGATGCCTCTCTTTATTAGGAGAATGGCATTGACTAACAGTGCCTTAGCGTAGAAGCACCAGACCCTCAACCCCCTGGTACTGTCTCTGCTTCTCTCTTCCCCATGTTTGTTCACGTCTGATTGACTGGGTAAGAGGCAGTGTGTGCACCTGCAACCCTTTGTTTAAACAGGCTTTGGGTCCAGAAGAGGAACCGCGCATCTCCGCTGAATGGGGAAAACGATTAGTCATCTACAGAATGATTTCATTGTCTCCTTCTCCCCCATTCTTTGTCGTTCCCGGTTCCCTCTTTCCTAGGTGGCATGCCCCCTACTCCACAGGCAGTCCAGATGGCCGGGCCAAACCAGAGTCAGCAACAGTATGACCCTTCTAAGGGCCCGCCCGTGCAGAATGCGGCCAGCCTCCACACTCCGCCGCCACAGCTGCCCGGCCGCCTGCCTCCCAGCACCCTGCCTATGGCGAGCCTCCCGCTGGCACTGGCCCAGCCCCCATTGGCCGAGCCGCAGGCCCCGCCCACCGCGGGGCTCCAGCCCCCTGTGAAGGTGACTGCCGGTGGCCCGCTCCTGGCCCAGGGCAACCCGCACACTCAGCTGCAGACTCAACTCCAGCAGCAAATGCAGCCAGGTCTCCACATCCAGATCCAGGCCCAGCCAATGCAGCAGCTGCAGCAGCCGCCCCAGCCTCTGCTGCAGCCAGGGCAGGCGGTGAGTCTGCGTTAAACTTCGCAGCCTAATTAAAGACACTGAGATGAGAGTTAAGCAGTTTTAAATGTGCCCCATGGACACAGACGTTCCTCTTCAGGATGCCAGTACAATCCTTAGTCATTAGAAATCCCCAATATACCTAAATCCGTTTTAGCGGTTTTAAAACCAAGCCCTAAACTTAGTGGGCTCTTTCTTAGCAGCGTTCAGTATACCAGATTACATTTTACCCGTTTAGATTCCTTTATCCAAAGCAATGAATGTTTTTAGTAGAAAGCAGGGTCTCTCCCTCTGTAGGAATTGAGGGTGAAGGGTCTTGCTCAGAGGCCCAACGGCGAAATGATCCTGCCGATTCTGGGATTTGAACCAGCGACCTTCTCGTCCGACACGGCAGCTGCACACTGCCACCAATGCATAATATAACCGGTTTTGATTAGTACTTCTTGGTTTATTTTCTTGACGCCAGCTCTTACATCTGACTAAATTTCAAAACAATTTCAAAAAATGTCATCTCTAGCTGTAGTTGAATCTCTAGGTATGTTGGCCAATGACTTTGAACACTCATTCTCTTTCTAAATATCGGTCGGTTCAGAAAAAAATACATCACTGTTACTGTTGCCATTAGAATTGTAAACATCATCGGGAGTGCTGGGTAATGTGAAGCATTGTTTGGATCATTTTATTGATTCGTCTGGAGTTATTGATACGGTCTCCCATAGTATCCTTAAAAAGAGCCTCGCTTTCCTGGTGATGCAGTGGCTGGTTTGTCATTTATCATTGGCCAGCCAGTCAGAAGGCCTTTTATCTGAAGTGAAATCAGTTTGGGTCGGAGTTCGATGGTTCAGACCCCATGATTGGTGGGTTCAGTGACGCTGTGGTATTGCATTTCAGCTGCACTTAAGGCTTTTGAGTACCTAGAAAATGATTTTAATAGAGAGCATGCTCAGCTTTGTCGTCTGATGCATGTTCCCAATGCAGAAATTTCCAAACTTATTATTTGTGTTATGTGAGAAATTTTATCAAAGGGTTGTTGGGCAAAAAAGTTAAGGGTCATGACCCTTAAATTTAGGTTTTATTATACTTTTAAACTTTTAATACTTTTAAAATTCTTTCGTCTCAGTAAGATATTGTACTGATTACCTTTTTAGCATGTTCTCTTGTGTCAGAAACCATTTTTTAATTACCTATGTTGGCCTGGTCTCTTTCTAAATCCAAATGCGACTAACCTGGTTAAATAAATACAGCTCTTTTTCCTCTCCTTTTATTTTGTGCTTCCCTGATGCCAGACTGTGGCTTTGGTACGTCCTGGAACTGAAGCCTCCCAGCCTTGCCAGAGGCTGGTGACCAATGCCCTCCCGGCCTCGACCGCAGCCCCCACCCCGCTGAGTGTCCCAGTTTCACACACATCCCCCCTCACTGCTGGCCCAGGCCGCCCCGCTGCCTCTGCCTCCGCTGCCTCTGCCTCCGCTGCCCAATCCAAGATGGCCGGCCTGAGCCCCATTTCTGCGCTCCAGGCAGCTGTTCCTGGACAATCCTCAAGCGGGCAGCCAACTCAGGAGAGCTCCCAGGACAAGCAGGCCGAACAGGCCAAACTGGTGAGTCTGTGTGCATGTGTATGAAAGAGACGGTGGTAGAGAGACGGTAGGGTGTGCTTTGTCAGAATGGTAATAGTTTCGCTCCTACCAGGAGAGCCAAGTGCACCAGCGCATCTCAGAGCTGCGTAAGGAGGGCCAGTGGACGGCCAGCCGGCTGCCCAAGCTGCTGGAGACTCCGCGGCCCAAGGCACACTGGGACTACCTGCTGCAGGAGATGCAGTGGATGGCGGCCGACTTTGCTCAGGAGAGGCGCTGGAAGATGGCAGCTGCCAAAAAGGTGCAGTTGGGAATCCTTGCCCCAGAATTACTTGTTCTGGCCATTGCTTCAGAAACCCCACCTTTGCCCCAACCACAGATTTGTTTCTCATTGACATTAAACTTTGGCTGGCCTGTCACTGGTGTGCAGAAGGGGCTATCGGTCAGGGGCTTTGCCACTCATGCAGCTACTGTCGTTGCCCCCCCCCCCCCAGCTGGTGCGTACTTGTGCCCGTTACCATGACCAACAGAAGCAAGGCCAGGAGCAGGCCAAGAGGGAGGAGGAGATGCACCTGCGGCAGATCGCTGGCACCATCGCCCGAGAGATTGAATTTTTCTGGTCCAACATTGAGCAAGTGAGTTCCTCCCCCAAAAGGCTCCCTTTAGCCGAATGAGTTGGATAGGGTCATTATGCAGTGATGTAAAACTGCATTGTTGCGTAGATATTCAGTGATGTTACCCAAATTGATTTGGCCGCCTTGGTGAAAAATATGATTTAGAAATTTTAGATTTTACTGTCACATTTTAATTTTTAGAAGTTAAAATTTGCATTTTAGCATTTGAGTGACGTTTCAGAAGTTCCTGAATATTGCAAGATCATTCTTAAAAGTAGCTAAACTTGTTGCTAGTTGGTTTATGAAAAACAGTTTCCAGGGTAATCTGAAAAATTGCTAAATCTTGCAACAAAATTGCTGACTTGGCAACAGTGCCTGTCTTGTGCTGCTGCTAGGGTACACGGTGTGCGTATTTGGCATAAAGGTGGGGGGGCCACTGGGAGGCGGTATTGGATACACTGAGCTGCTAAGATGCTTTGAAATTTGAAATGCATTGAATTTACCTGCCAGTCCTTCACCTCCTTCAGGTCGTTGAGATTAAGTTGCGGTGTGAGGTCTATGAGAAGAGACGCAAAGCACTTTGCCTGCAGAGGACGTCCAGTAAAGGTAAGAGCTTCTCATTTGTGCTAGATATTTAGCTGTGGAGGCTCTTCCTGAGCTGCGTATTGCTGTTATGGGTGGGCTGGGTAGATGAGGAATTGGTGTTTTTAAAAAAAGTAATGTGGTGCTTATTGGATTTTGCAGGTCAAATTATGAAAGGAACCCCTCTGGCTGCAGAGGAAGCTGGACATGTAAGAATCTCCTGTCCTGCTTTATAATCTGAAATCTTCAGCACATGAATTCTCGCAATGTGGAACCGCATCATTATGTCATTATTCCTTTTTATGTTTTTTTCCCCCCTTTATTCCACCCAGGAGTTGTCATGTTCCCGTAGAAAGAGAAAGGCCGATGCATCAGGGCTTGATGAAGGTGTGTGTCTTTTTGCGGTTTTTTATACACCCACACACACACACACACACACACACACACACACAATCATCCCGTCCAGTCCTTTTTGTGTAAGTACTGTAGGTCTGCTGTTGGGGAAAGTTATGTGGTTGGGGTGCCCCCTAGTGTATATCTTCTTAGCCTGTAACAAACTTGGCTGCCCTGTGTTTTACAGAAGATGAGGAGAGCACCATAGAAGAGCAGGAGATCACAGAAGCGGCCGTGGACCACCAGGCTGAGTTGGCTGACCTTGCTAAAGAGGGTATGTCACATATACCAGTAGAGTACAGCTGTTATTTTACTCATCCTAACTTCCACCCCGAATCACTGTTCGGGGTCAAGAAATGGTTGTGCGTTTTTTTTTTCCCTCACGTTATATTCTCAGATACATGTGGTTTTAGCAGATGCACTTGTGTTTAGCATTCATCTGACATGATCGCTACGGAAGTAACTGTGTCATTCACGCGGCACCGTGCCATGTCTCTTCTCGTCCCTCACCAGCCGAGATGCCCCTGGACATCCTGGTGAAGCAATATGCGGGTGCTTATTCTGAGGACTTTGACTGGCCCCAGCCTGGACCTCAAGGTTTGCCCAGTGCTGGTGCTGAGCCAGAACCCCATAGTGAGGATGAGGAGCAGGACGAAGGTGAAGGTAAGAGGCTGGTTTTGTTCATTTACATTTTCAGAGCATATGACTTTAATGTGTTTTATGTCAAACTTCATAACTTGGAATTAACGTCCCATGTGCTCCTCTTGTCTTAATATTCTGATGGACAGAATACATTGTTTCAGTTTAACCAAACATGCCATTGTGTGTCTTGTGACTGTGTATGAGAATGACATGATTGTTCTAATCACGTGACATGGTGGGGTGCTGATATTGGCGTGACCTTGCGGTTGTGGGTGATCATCAGAGATGGAAGCTGCCCCTCCGGGCGACCCTCCCGAGGCTGTGCTCATAGACTCGCTGCTCAGCATGGAGCAGTACCGGGCCTCGGAGAAGTCGGTGTCTGCAGGAGCCAAGGGGCCGCCCCAGCGGGACATCGCAGAGGTGGCTACTGCCGCGGAGCACCTGCTTCCCAAAGGCATGGCGCGCACCGTCTCCCCGGTGAGTCGCGCCCCTCCTCCGTACAGCCGTGTTCCTGCTGACCCTTGAGTAAAGGGAGGTCACTGTTCTCGTTGGCAAACATCACTTGGCTAGGAAAAGTATTTTTTGGGACGATGATATGAAAGTGATTTTTTTCCCCCAGGTGCACGGCACTGCCCCCTTCCTCCTGCACGGCACTCTGCGGGAATATCAGCAAATCGGCGTGGACTGGCTGGCCAGCCTCCACCGGCGACACCTGAACGGCATCCTGGCCGACGAGACGGGCCTTGGGAAGACGGTACAGACAGTGGCTTTCCTGGCTCACCTTGCTTGTTATGACGGTCAGTAGCCTCTCGTCATTCCCCTGCGCTGCCTTTTCTCTCCCAGTTATATTTTATTATTCTGGTACTCAACTATTTTCTGAAGTAATTTTAATTTCGGATCCATTTTTACAGCTGGGTGGTTTATCGTTAGGCGTTCAGGTTAATTTGACACATGGCAGTTTTCCGGTCACTTGTATTATCTGTGGTCTCAGGGTACTTCCTGTCACATTGTCCTTCAAATAGGAAGAGAAGCTCACTTCTGTTGAAATTTTAATTTGCCAGCAGTAAGATGCTTGAATTCATGTGAAGCGTTCCGCCCCAAACAGGAATCTGGGGTCCTCACCTTGTGGTCGTGCGCACGTGTAAGCTTTTGAGCTGGGAGATGGAGCTTAAGCGATGGTGCCCAGGTCTAAAAATCCTGCTGTACCTTGGAGGAAAGAAGGGTCGCAAGCTAAAAAGATCGGTTAGTATTCTCCGCAGACTTTACCCTGCTGCAGTTTAACTCTCTGTTACTCCCTGTGTCGTCCTCCTGTGTATCTGACCTGGTCCTGGTCACTTCCCCTAGTGGTGGTCGGAGCCCAACAGCTTCCATGTGTGCGTGACTTCCTACAAGCTGTTACTGAAGGACCAGGGGCACTTCCTGAGGAAGCGCTGGAGCCACCTGGTGTTGGATGAAGTGCAGCTCATCAAGAACATGACAGAGAAGCAGTGGGACACCATCTTCTCCCTGAAGAGGTTGGCCACTGGGACCGTGGTGCTCGTAGCTTCACCACCTTGACCCTGAAAGCATCAGATGGTGTTGGATGCATAAACCAACATGTAGTGGTGAAGCCTTAGGCGCTGTATTACCGGGCTGCTAGGAATTCTGCGAGTCTTATTTACCCAATTCTGTGTTTCCTCCTCCAGCCAGCAGAGGCTCCTGCTTATTAACACCCCTCTGCAGAACACACTGAAGGAGCTGTGGACCATGATCCACTTTCTTCTGCCAGGAATCACACGCGCCTACCTGGACTTCCCTGTCAAGCCTGGCACCGACCAGAACCAGGATTACTGCCACAAGCTGGTCATCCGACTGCACAGGGTGCGATTAGCTGTGCCAACGTCCTCCAGGCTTTCACCTTAATTCTTCAAAGCAGCGTCGAACACATTTACAGCAGCTTTCCATCTGTTTGTGGTCTGGCTGTTTTATTTAGCTTAATTAAAGAATGTGTTTAAGTAGAGAGAGACTTTCTTCTCTGGGTATTTTAATGCTGTAACTTATTGAACGATACAACAAAAGAGCACCTGTTGGCACTGTAGCTAGCAGTGTGTTTGGCCTCAGGGCCTAGTTGCTCATGCCATAATTTCGGACAGACGTGTATCCAAAGGCAGCCGCATTGTTGAAGGTCCCCCACGTCGCCCCCTGTGCAGATGATCCAGCCGTTCATCCTGCGGCGCTCCAAGAGGGACGTGGAGAAGCAGCTGCCCAAGAAGTACGAGCACATCTTAAAATGCCGGTTGTCACGGCGACAGAAGAGCCTGTACGAGGATGTCATGACGCAGCCTGGGTGAGTGCCCAGCCCCTGTATGTGCTGGGGGCACCTCCCCATCGCAGTTTATACACTGTCCTGATATGTTGAGTATCACTGGTGGCCATTTCCCCACTCTACTCACAATACTCTACTCCCCACTCACAATACTCTTTTGAAGGCAGGGAAGTAATACCTCACAGCCCCCTAGCCCATCTTTGGCCAATATGGCCACACTCACCAGGCAGTATCGTACTTTCTGAGTGTGAACAGCGTGAGAAACATCCTGGTGGCACATCACTGCTTATGGCTTTCTAGCAGTTGAGCTGGATCACTTAGCTGGCTCTACTCTCCCAAATGTCATGATGTCATGGATGTTGAGTACTAAGCGATGACTTTTTTTCGGCTTACATACAGCAACGGAAGTTTCTTGGTTTTTTTTGTGACTTTCGTTGTCAACCTACTCCAGAGCTCAGGAAGCCCTGAAGACGGGCCACTTTGTCAGTGTGCTTCGGGTCCTGATGCAGCTGCAGCACATCTGCAACCACCCTGACCTGGTGCAGCCCAGGGAGACAGCTGCTGCCCACGTTTCCCCGGCACTGGAGTACAGAGCTCCCTCCATGGTGCTAGGAGTATTGGCACCGGACCCATGGAAGGTAACGTTACCTTTTGGATTTTCATGTGTCTGTGGCTGAACAAAGTAAAAGGAAAAACCTCATAAAAGAATTTAAGGCAACTAAACTGAATTATAACAACAGATCTAACTACAACGGTGAGTCATTAGATTGCATGCCGGTTAGCAGTATATGTCAGCTATAAAGAAGTCTGATTAATGCTCAGATACGTAAGTTTTCAAAGCAGCGTGTTTCAAGGAGGCCAGGTGCTGCTCGAATTTCAGAAGCATTGGTCACAAAAATTGCAAAACTAAAATATCAAGGGAAACCGACTCAAAAACCATGACAGAAATTGCCACAGAGCTGAATCAGCATCTCTCTGCTCTCGTCCCAAAGACCCTCTTGTGTGCTGCACAGACCTTGAAATTATAGCAGTGTTGCTGTTCAGGAACTTCTTATCCCTAAGGCCAATGCACTATGACACATAGCCCAGTCTGGGAACGCGAAATCTGGGACCGCGTTTATCACGGCTGCATACAAAAAGATGCACAAAATGTGCATATGCAACTTTTGAAATGCAAAATCCCAGATTTATCAAACAAAACTTGATGGGGAAAATGCATATTTATGAGGCATATGCCTCATTTAGGAGAAGTATGGAAAAGATTAATCTTGTAATTGTGGTAGAAAAATTATTTTAAATAAAAAGTTGGAAAATGTATGTCTGCACATTTTTCTGCTGTGATAAGTTATTAGGCCCCCAAATATAACATTTTATTATGTTGCATGACATCAGTGTATGAATAGTCCACCATAATCATGGACAGTCGGGGAGATGGATTAAAAAAAAACTTTATTTTAGGGTCATTCCATTCCAATGGAATGTCGCAGTGTTGGAAATTCCTCTTCTTTATGGTTGCTATTGTCGGTCTTTGCATTGAGTGATGCTCGATTTGCGTATTCTTTGAGCCTGAAGTAAATTTGCATTGACCATTTATGCTTTTCGGTGGGTTGCAGCTCGGCAGAATCGCAGTATTGTGCATGTATGCACATTTACAAAAGTTCCAATTTTGTCAAGGGAAATTGCATACATATGTACATAATCCAGTTTTGATAAATCCAAATTTTTTGTGCGTACGTTTTGTAGTCTGTTACCTTTCACTCTTTTACCAGCATCCTTGTTGTGCAAACACTGTTCCCTCATGATTTTCTCATATCCCAGATAATAATAATGTTAAACAAACTCAAAGGTGGCTATTGAACACCAGCATGAAATCAAGTGCCTTTCATGGCTTCCCTAGTCGCCGGGTCTAAACATCAGCCTTTATGGGAAATTCTTGGCTGCAGTGTATAAAGTAGATTTTATCCCTCCATAGAACTTTTTTTTTTCCCCTTGAAGAAAGGTTCAAAGTCCTGCTGTGCACAGTTCATGACTCGCCTAACAGAATTTCAAGGTGGACTAAAGGTTTGATACTGGAATACTGTTAGGTGTTTTCGTTTATCCACCCCCTGTGTGTGTGTGTGTGTGTGTGTGTGCGTGTGCGTGCGCTGTAATTTTAAGACCATAGTTTGGTGGTAATGTAGCATAGATTTTTTTTTTTTAGGGTGACATTGGTGCGTCACTGCTAAGGAGGCAGATGAAAGCCACAAAATTTTCAAATCTGCAAAGCTGGTCTTGTAATGTAAGAGTCTGAGTAATCTTAAAGGGGATCTCTCAGCTGTAGCTGTGTTTTTAATTTTGATTTTCTCCCCACTCCCAAACTGCCAGACTGTGGATCTGTCCATTTTCGACTTGGTCAGTAACGAGTGCCACCTGACACGCTACGAGACCGAGGAGGTGCTGCCCAGGTTGAAGGTCTCCAGGCAGCTCATCGAGGAGATCCATGCCGCCCCTCCCCCCCCAGCCCGGCCCAAGCCCTGCAAGATCAAACCCATGAGGTCCGTAGGTCACACTTGGTCTTTTAAGGCTTGTTAAGAGGCACCTGATGAATGAGCTATAATTAGACCTTTTATCTAGTGATGGCTAAATGAAGCTTCTTGAACCATGTGCTGTAGATGGCGGTCTTGGTTGGCTTTGGGGTGTGCTTCGAGCCCTTTTATAAGCAGAGAGCACCATCTAGTGGAGTCAGAAAATACAGCAAGTGGCTCATGAAGCTTGATTTGGCCATTGCTACTTTTATTCATTAAAAATAGAAGATGGTTGTATGGTCTCCTCATTACATTGTGTTAAAACTGATATCAGCATCTATGTTCAGTGATTCTGAGTCTAGTAATATTATAATTATCGTTCATGTTGGTTAGCTGTTGTTAGTTCCAGACTAACGGTGTGTTTGTTTATTTGGTGAAACACAATTGGATGGCCTGGTCATACTTTGGCAGGTTGTTCCAGCCCGTCCAATACGGCACCAAGCCGGAGGGCCGAACAGTACCTTTGGCAAGCAATGGGGCTCAGCGGCCCCCAGCCAGCACTGTGGCCACCCCCACCACAACCAGCACGTCCCAACCAGCCCTGGCCAAGGGCAAGACCCCCATCACCCACACGAGCACCACCACTAACGCCACAGTTACTGCTGCCCAGGGTAAGAGCGCCTCTTCACACTGACACATCACCGGATTTCCTGATCGTTGTGACCCTTCTGTGCATTGACTGTGCTCTGTTTACTAGTGGATATCACTGTGATAGATTTCCCAGATGAATTCCCCACTCCACCACAATAGCAGCAAATATCGCTGAAGAGGCACGCTGGGCATTACTTATGCTTACTGACGGCGTTTCAATAATCCGCTGCAGTCGCCATGAATTTTAACATGGTTCAGGCACATCTGTTCATGTTTCAGCGTCGCATTAAAGAGATTATGCGATTTCAGTCAGGGAGGCTGCGATGGGAGCCTCATGAGAACATATTGCTTATTTTCACAGGCCTGTACTTTATTCCCATTGTAACAGCTTAGTGCTGGATTAACTGGAGGATGCTGGGTGCGTTTTGGTTTGGGGGCTTATGATGCTGAAAAAAATCTGCTAGATATCCTGTTCCCAATATTCATGAAAGTTTTCATTTTTTAAGGGAAGGTTGACACTGCACCAAAGTTTCTGGTCTTATACAATGGAAACTAAAATGTTTTCATTCATCCTGCTTTGAACAGAGCAGACATAATGGTGGTGTCCCACTTGATATGCGTGATGTTTGGCTACATTTCAGCCAGTATATCGTGTTTAGGTGAGATAAAGGAGTAGGGAGAATTCTACACAATGAAACTAAACAGTACTTCTTTGACGTTTTAAGAATGTTTAGTAAATCATCTTTTAAAAACTGTTCTGAATGGCTTTAAGCTTAAGCGCATTACTCATGCTCCATAAAGGTTGAGTACACTCTTTTTTTTTTTTTTAGCTTTAAATATGTGTTGTGTGAATATGTTGGATACAGAGTGGTGGTGCTTCTGAATTAGTTTGTGTGTGTGTTTTAATGTAGGTATTTTTTAATGTTTATTCACGGAGAAGGTCTGGGTCCTCTGCCCTCCTTTCAGACTTATCTTATGGATGGATATGAACTAATTAATCCAGCCCTTGATCCATACTTGGTTCATCTCGAATGTGAGACTGTCTGTCTCGCCAGTATCATTAGACAACGTTTAAACGAGACCTGAAAAGTTCCCAGTAAACGGGAGCAGGAGCCATGACAGAAACACACCTAACCGCAAGCCTACACCAACCACTATCCTCTGCAGTCACCGGGACTGCCTTGCCGACAAGCCTGGCTGCCGCCACCGACACAGCTTCCTCCTCCGCGGCTGTCCCGGCCCGCCGTGTCCCCGGACAGGCATTGAGTCTGCCTGCAGGGGGTGCTGTGCCCCAGCTGTCCCAACCCTCTTTGGTCAGGCCATTGACTAAGTTGCCACAGACCACCACACCGAGCCTGCCAGCCCAGAGGCTGGTACTCACCTCCCAGGCCCAGGCACGCTTGCCTAGTAAGTGGCCTACCCTCCCTCCCACTCCTCATCACACTCCTGCCACCGACGAAGCAGACCACTCAGGTTAAAGGGGGCCAGTCTGGGAGGCACTGCTGAAGGAATGCTTTAAGAGAGGAGTCAATAGCAGGAATGGAGCTCTTTAATGATGCAGTTTGTTTTTACTGTAGAGACAGGGAAGCATAAATACTTCCTGGAAAGAACACAATCCAGCATGTTTGCCTGCTCATGTGACATCACTTCTGAATTGGGAGACTGACGTCTAGAATAGTTCGAATAACAGCAGTATCAGGATTTGGTGGTACCACAACATTTAGCCTGCTATTAATGGTTTAAATGTTTTGCCATTGCTTTCTTAAGGCTTCCATCAGTGCTTAATAAATATGGAAGTATATCGATCATATTCACACCAGCAAAGTCAAGCTTTCTATTAACAAGAAAGGGTTCTTAAAACTGAGTGCGCTTACTGGAACACCCACTAGTGGTCATGTTACCTCTGGGTGTGCCTTGAGCAGATTTGAAGTGACCTAGCTGCAGGGGAATTGCATGTGATTGCAGGGAGCAGAGCATCAATGAGCATGGGAGAATGATTTGATTGAGCACAATAACGGAAGAACTTGCAATACGACTTAATATTTACTTCTGCTTAAATTAGTGCAGTTCACGATTTGCTCGCAGGACTCTTGAAGGGACCTGAACTGTTATCTGTCTAGTCCATTTTCAGTAAATCTATATGTAACCTTATGAAAAGAGGACTTGTAAAACCAGTAATAAAGAATAATATAAAAGACTTGTTATAATAATTGTGGAACTTAATGTAACTGATGTGCAGCCTTTACGTAAAATTACTTTTTTTGAGTGTTTCGGTGCCATGTCATGCTTTATAGCAGCCGTTACAAAAAATACAAATGCATCATAAATTTGCGAATCCACGATAGGAGCTAAAGCAGGAAGCTCAGAAACACAGGCCACTTCAGCAGGATCTCCCAGCATTCTCTGTGTGTCTCTTTCCCAATCCTGCATGCCCGCACTGGTCCCCCCACCCTGGGCCATCACCAGCCTCCGGTTTTATCGTTAACCTTCATTCTTATTTTTGTCCATTTACTCACACTTCTTTGTCTTCTGGGGAGCATCTCTAAACCCTTGGCTCCAAGTCAGGCCAAGACCAACAAGGTCTATCTTCTCATCCTTCTGGTCCCGTCCCCTTTTAAGTCACACTTTCTTGTCTTATGTTTTTGTTTGAGCATGAAGCTATGACCACACATATGACCTTAGATTACTTCTCTTTAAAAAAGAAAAAAAATATTGGAGGGAATTCTTTTGACAAACACCAAAGGAATTTTTGGAAGCAAGACATGCCTCAAGATGACTGCAACTCCCAGCTGATCCCTCTAAGTACTAATCTCCGGTGTCATATTTAAATGACTGATTTTGATGATAAAATCCCCAAGCTGCCTGCACCACTTTTGAACGTGCAATTAAAGGGAGGCACGACATTTCAGCTGGAGCCTCAAGGATCTCTCGCTCATCTGAAGACTGCAAGTCCACATCACCGTAGAGCTGGTAACAGGATAGGTGACGAATTCTGCTGTCATGGGGGCTTTCTCTGCCTCCCAGTTTAACCCCCCCTGCTGTTTCTGCATGTCTAGTAGATTTTCCAGCTTTTTCCATCCTTCTCACTAACCAGAAAAAGTGTCAGGTCCGTATTTTATGTCTTAGTCTCCCTTACGGGTTGGGGGGTGCACAGACTGACCAGATCTGCACTTGTCCCCCCCCCCTCCCCCATCTCTTCTGAAAGGTGCCGATGCAGTAAAGACCTCCCAGATGGCCTCCATCGCTGGGGCGCAGGGCCGCATATCGCAGCCAGAGACCCCCGTCACCCTGCAGTTCCAGGGAAACAAGTTCACTCTGTCTCCCAGCCAGCTGCGGCAGCTCACCACTGGGCAGCCCCTGCAGCTTCAAGGTACCCTCGGTAAAGTATACCCGCCTGCCGTCGGCCTCCCCCTCTCTGATGCCTTCAGAGGCCTTCGCTCGCTATTGGTTCTGTCTGAGACCCTATCACCTTTATGGATTGGCACTGACGTCTTGACAAGCTCATTAAAAAAATGATGCTGTTGGGCTATTTTGGTCTAAAGACAACAGCAGGCTGGTTCCAAGCAGCTCTTTACCCTGGCCCCTTTGTCCCCCCTCCTCCTCGCCCCCCCTCCCCGCCCCGGCCTGTGGCACAGGCAACATCCTCCAGATCGTATCGGCTCCTGGGCAGCAGGTGTTGCGCAATCAGGGCTCCGTGGGCCTGCAGGCGACCCCCCAGCCTCTCCCAGTCCCCAGTGCGGCCACCCCTGCAGCCACTGCCGCGCCTCCGCCTGCTTCCACCCCTCCTATGGTGTCCGCTGCTGCACTCCAGGGTAAGGGCTGCAGCCTCTTCTGGGGGGGGCTCGAAGCAGACAGTGCTGTCTTTATCGCCGGGGCTGGCCCACCCTTTGAGTGCCATAAGGTGCCATTTGAGTAGGGGCTACACAAGAGCAAGGGGAAATAATCATGAGAAATGCCTCCGCTTCATTTCATGACCTTTAGTTATTTACAATATTTCTAATATTTCACTACTTTTCTTGTGAAACCGACGCCAGCTACTATCAGCGAGAAGCCCTGTGCTACTGAAGCGTTTTTAATATAAACGAATTCACAGAATTCGTAATCTTGCCTTTGGCACCAGAACACCCAGGGCTGGCCCTACTGATCAGGGTTGAGTTTGGTTCCTTTCAAGCAGCTGCCTTAAAACACTACCTACGGCAATCTGCAAACATACTGAACCCTCCATAAAATGATCCGATTTGCCTCACTTACATTCATCTTGCCAGTATCACTTGTAATTCAGGCATATCAGGTCAGTTAAGGAAGTTTCAACACTTTAGCAAGGCACTTTATAAATAAATTAATGAGAACATTGTGCAGTCAGCTAGAAATCTTTTCAGTATCTAGAATCATTGTATACACTTTAACATCCATAGGTCAGCGATTGACTAAAAGACCCAGATGAGATTATGCTGTGTGTCTTGTAGCTAACCTGACCTCTACCCATGATCCCGTCTACCTCACTGTAAATGCTAAACTTCTCCTTGTCTAGTCCCAGGAGCTGCAGCCAAGAGCCCAGTCACAACAGCCTTTTTTGTGGACCAAACGGCTGGCGCCAAGCCCCCACTCCCAGCAGCCGCTGTGCAGGTATGGGGGGGGGAATAGAAACTGTTTTATTGACACACAAACCCTGTGTTACTGCCATTGATTAAGTCAGAGCAGCTGCAGTAAAATGTACCCTGCGTGATCTGGGGGCCTTCTAATTTTTACGGAGCAGATAGGACAGTAGTGCTGCCAGGAGGTCCCTGAGATGCCTGCGGTCTCATGTCTGGCTCTCTGCAGGAGTCTTCCGAGGAGCGGAGCCGGCAGGTGAAGGAGCGCCTGAGCCGGCTTTTTACCGCTAATGAGCGCCGGTGCGGGCGGGCAGTGCTGTACGGGGCCGACCTGCTGGGGGCCTGCACCATATCGCAGAGGGACCAGCAGCTCCCGCCACCCCTCTCCCCCATTTTTGCCTCCGGGCCCCGCAGATGGAGGTGGGTGGGCCGGGACAGCTGCCTGAGGGCTCAGCGCTCCTGCATCTCTGCCACGACCCACCTGCAGGAGGCGCTGCTCTCCGCTCAGCAGCAGAGGGAGGCTGGGCAGCAATTGGCTAACAGGTACTGAGCTCAGCACCTCTTCTGGACGTTTCTGACCCAGCACGTTTCTGCCATTGTGTCAGGAAGTTCCAGGCCATTCTTCCCCTGACGATATCTGTCCTTTCTTCCTGGTCGTCAAATTCACAGGTTTTCTTGCGTGGTTCCTGCGGTCGTGGCCCCGCCCCCATGTCTGTATGCGCCCAACCCCACGCCACGGTTCACCCTGGAGCAGAAGCGTATCCACCGGCGACTGCAGGAGGCCGCCGCCCCTCACGGTCTGGAGATCCACAGGCTAGCTGCCGCCCGCTTCCACCAGTTCCCTGACCTGCAGCTTCTGCAAATGGACTCAGGTTGGACCCGAGTTGAGATTGAACCAGTCAAACTGATGACAGTTTCTGCGTTTTAAAGTGCATTAAGAATGCTTTGCAAATTCGCAACGGCCGCGTAAAGTGGAAGGTTGGCACACTGAATTCCAAAATAAGGAGAAATGCATACTGGGATCTATATAAATCAATGATGGAAGGCAACTGTTGAGAAAAAGCTGCATAGTAATGCGTTGGACAAAAAGGCTGCAGTCCCTGCCCTAAAATAAAGGGATAATGGGTCTTTCTCCATTCTGGCTGAAGTGGTGTATTTGCTGATTGAACACGCTTTACATCTCAGTATAATTGTAATAATGGCTGATGATCAATGTTTATCCATCAGAGCCCGTATTCTAGGCATTCGTAATTAAATACAGAAGAAAGCCAAGTGCTAAAATGTGTATTTATGGACCGATTTATGGCAATGTGGTTCTGTTATAGGTCTGTAGTGGCTATTTTAAAATCAATCCAAATCAACACTACAAAAAAAACTCATAGCTGTTATTACATTTCCAAACAACCAGTGGCCTGAATGACCTTCTCCTTTCATTGTGTCTCTTTCAGTGTAGCTGCTGAGTGATTGTTTTGTACATTCAAGCTGTTATTCAGTTCAACTTTTTTATATAGCGCCTTTCACAACAGCGTTACCCAAAGGCACTTTACATGGGTGTGTTGTGATACATCACCTCACCATTAAGACAGAATGATACAAAACCAGGGGGAAGGAAAGACAGAGAAATGAAAGAAAGCCAGATGACAATGGAGGAGAGGAACCAAAAACTCCAAAGTAGGGGGAAAAAAAAAACCTCTGGCAATCCTAGATTAAGGGGCATGCTAACATTATAGAAAAGGGGAGTGGGCTTGGTGCAGACTGTGGTCAACAGCAAAGCCAAAGTCCGTCAGTGAGTCAGGTCTCCACGCCAGCCTGTGTAGGTTGTCAGATTGAAGGCCGCACCCAGAACATTACAGTTCATAGGTCACATCCACGATGTCAGCCTTCCACGGGACTGAACCAGGACTCCAGCTCAGATGATTCCCACCCCAGGCACCATTCAGACTTGTGGGACAGCAGAGAGCCTGGGGGGTCAGAACATGCATTGACACATTAATGGAAAAGCATAGTAGATTTAAAAAAAAAATAAAAATGGCATGTGCAGCAGCATCAGCAGCCATGGTTACGGTGTGTTGTATGTTAAGCTAAAATGACGTAATAGGCCTTCAGTCAAGATTATTAACTTGTTGGCATTGTGAGGGAGGACACTATGTATTGTCTGCGGCTGGGAGGAATGTCGATAGACTCCGGGTATCCTATGCCTAGCGAGCCTTAGCCCATCTTCTTACCATCTGCTGCCGACCTCTCCCTCCACCCCAGGCAAGCTGGAAGCCCTGGCTGTCCTCCTCCACAAGCTTCGCTCAGAGAATCGCCGCGTCCTCATCTTCACCCAGATGGTGCGCATGCTGGACATTCTGGAGGCCTTCCTCAACTACCGCCATCTCACCTACGTGCGGCTGGACGAGAGCCTGCCAATGCAGGAGCGCCAGGTAGAGGTCGGCGTGCAGGTGCCGAGCGGGTTTCCCTGTCTAACACCAGGACCTGCAGCCCCCCTGCGGGCTTCTGGCCTTCCGATGGGATACAGCAGTGGCCTCGCTTCCCCCCCCGCTGGATTAGTTCCTCCTGGGGCCTAAAGAGAAGCCAACACAATCTTTCATGTTCTAAGCATTGCATGTTTTCCTAATCGCTAATCTTAATTTTTGTTCTTTATCCTCCCATGCTTTTAATCCAGATTTTTATTCCACGAGTGAATTGTAGTGTTGCGCAGTTGTGTTTTGCAGATGCTTATGCTCATTATCAAAAGAACATGGAAAACCTGCCAATTACCCCAATGCTCTCCATTAGTGTCTGACACACCACTTTGTCCTGTCCTGACCTCCCCAGGAACAGATGAAGAGCTTCAACAGGACCAGGCAGGTATTCTGTGCCATTCTCACCAACCGCTGCGGTTCCGCCGTGGGCCACGTCTTTGACGCAGACACCATCGTCTTCTACGACACGGACCTCAACCCCAGCATGGACTCCCGCACCCAGGAGTGGTGCGATCGAATCGGCCGCTCCAAGGACATTCACATCTACAGGTATGTCATCATCCAGAGGTGCTAGAGCGTCCGACAATATTCGCATACACTAGCTCACTTTGGCATGACGTTGCTTTGATTTGCTGATAAGATCCCGATTCTGCGTCTTGTGGCTTTGCTGTTTAAAGGTCACATTGGCCAGCTTTTGTGGAATATAGAGCTCTGGACTATAAGTGGTTTATGATTATCTGTGGATTGCTTCTGCCAGTCTTGTTATCCCACGGCTCGTGGTACACTGACATGACACTTCAGGAGTAACTGTCACTGGTTTGTCCCCCCCCCCCCATTGTTCAGGCTAGAGAGCGGGAACTCCATAGAGGAAAAGCTACTGAAGAACGGGACTAAGGACCTTATACGTGAGGTAGCGGCCCAGGGTACCGACTACACCCTGGCCTTCCTGACACAGGTACGGCCTCATAGCTGTCATTCGAGTAGTTACACTGACAATGCTCGATTGACAAGTCTGGCTTCTAGTATGTGTAGTGGATTTAGGAGGGGGCTGGAACACGGCTTGTCACAGTTGTGATTTGTAAGGATCTCCAATGTCCTTGTGAGCAGTGGGATTTGCCAGACCCTGGCCTGCACATCCAGTTCCCCTCCCTTACTCCAGGACGTGAGCCCAGTGCCGTGTCCTGGCATTGACAGGGGATACAGCAATGGCTTTCTCCTCCTCTCCCTTCAGCTCTACAGCTGACAGCGGGGCTTAAGGGGTGGCCAACAGCATTCAAGGCTGGTAGCAAAGTACTTCGGCAGATCTGTACTTAACCTGTTAATCCCTCTGGCTCACTAGAAGGAAAATGTAGGTCCAGCAGAGATGAGTTCTTGTGCTCTTGCTTGCATTACTACTTTTTTTTTAGTTGGTTATCTCACATTTTGTACAGAGAAACTTAAAACCTTTCCACAGCTGCAGTGCTATTGACGGCTTTCTCTACAGCAGTGTTTCCCAGTCCGGTCCTCGGAGGTCCACAGACAGTCCACATTTTAGCTCCTCCCCAGCTCTCGGTAGGCAACAATAACGTGTACTGCCTGGCACGGCCTTTGGCGGAAGCAAAAACATGGACTGACTGTGGATCCCTGAGGACCGGAATTGGGAAATACTGCTCTATATTAATGTCAGTACCTGGCTTGAACCTGGAAGCCATGTCTTTCTGGTTGACTGCCAACATGCCAAACCACTCCACTTGTTGCTTTTATAGCGGACAATCCAGGACCTGTTTGAGGTGGAGTCAGGCACCGGGGAGAAGGTGGAGGAGTTTGTGGTGCTGCACCAGGATCCGTCTCCCTCGGAGGCCATCTCTCCCCGTGTGGCACGGCCCTACATCCAGGCCCTCAACAGCATCGGCCAGGATGTGTCGGAGGAGCTGCCCACAGAGCAGGACGATGAGCCAGGAGAAGAGGAGCAGCTCCAAATCCAGGAGGAACCATCACAGATTGAGGAGCTGGAGGCAGTCCTGGAGCAGGTAATTGGCAATAACTAACCAATCCCATAAGGGAGTGCGTGCCCTGATCTGCTAAGTAGTAGCTGGGGGAAAATAGCATTAACATCAAGAGAAATACGGCCACAAAATAAAAAGCTAGACAAGCAGAGTGGTTTTCGCTGATCTTACGATCTTAAACAGGCCGCAATATCACTGGTCTCAGCAGTAGCTGTGAAAATTCGGAGCTCGGTTTTTACTGCCCTTTGTCTGTCACTCCCAACAGCTGACACCGATTGAAAAATACGCTCTGCAGTACCTGGAGTGCCTGCACATCAGCGAGGATGAGGAGCGAGCCGTCATGGTAAGAATGGAGGAAGGTCAGAGGCCCTCTGAGTATACCGTCTGCCACTCTGAATTAGTGTTGGCCCCCCACTCCAGTTTGATAGACATCGTTATATTGGAATGGTGATATCTACAGAAGTAGTTGGGTATATTTAACATTTAAATGAATAATTCTTTTTTTATGTCTTTGTGTATGAATTGCAGGAGCAAGTGGGTTCAGCCAAGAAAGGCTGGGAGGTTCAGCATTTGCAGAAGCTTAAGGCTAAGGAGGAAGAACTGATGGTCCTTGAGGAAGAGGAGGATCTCTTCACTTACACGAGAGAAGATGCCTACAATATGGTACTTACTTCTGGATTTTGTTGACCATGTGGTTAAGTTAAACATTGTCACGGCCGCCCTTGCACGAGCTGGATGTTAACGGCACTGTCCACGCTGTGCTCCCCAGGAGTACGTCTTCGACGGTGAAGACGGCCAGACAGAAATCATGCCGGTGAGCCGCTGCTCCTTCCCCGTGACCTGTCCCCTTCGCACATCACGCTTTGCCGACACGCTTCCAGTAATCCGCCGCTGACCTTCACTTTGTTCCTTTCCCATGATGCAGCTGTGGACACCCCCTACGCCCCCACAGGATGATAATGACATCTACATTGACTCGGTGATCTGCCTGATGTACGACACGGTGCCCATGCCAGAGTCCAAGCTGCCGCCCGTCTACATCCGTAAGGAGCACAAGAGGCTGAAGATGGATACCTCCGGTGCGTCTCATGGATACCTCATCTCTCTCTTGCCGTCTGGTCGCCTGTGGCCTGCCTACCTCTATCATCGGGATTTTCATTGGACAATCTGCACAGTGCAAATCCTGCTGGGATTTTACCTAATTACCTTTAATTGTGGAGTAACAGCTTGCCTAGCTAGATGAATTCTTCTGCAACTTGGAATTATTGAGAGATCATATGGGCTTTACTATGGTTTTATTCTAGCTTTACTGTTGTTTGCAGGATTCCATCCTCAACAAATCGTAGGAATGATGCAGTGAAAACCTTAGTTTTTGCAAGAAAGATTTTATTGATTCAGGTCCTTGTGCGTGTGACCGGAAAATCTGCCTGTCTGTGCTTCTAAATGCCTGCCTGTCTTACGCATGTGCAGCGGTGGGTCGCAAGAAGAAGAAGGGCCACGGGGAGACGGTGATCCCGCCGCGCTCACTGTTCGACAAGCCCAGCATGCTGAAGGTGCGTCGCGAGGCCAAGGAGCAGAAGAAGAACTTCTCCCTGAAGCAGCAGGCGCCCTTCGCCAAGCCGCTACCCACTCTGAGCAAACCTGCTGTGGAGGCCGGGCAGGACAACCCCGAGTGGCTGATTAGCGAGGACTGGGCCCTGTTACAGGCACGCACGTCCGGCACACACACACACACACACACACACACACACATGCAGACTCGCGCACACAGTATACATGGAAGATGGCGAAACGTCACTTGCATATGTGTTGTGTTCTGCCAGCATACTTTACACCTGTTACATTTAATAAACTGGCAGCAGTTTGAACTCTTCATTTTATGAGGTCACAAAGATAAAATTGTCTTACTGGTTTAATACTTTTACTACTATTAATAATACAGATGCCTTAGTATTGATGTCGCAGCGGACAGAGTGGAGAGGCAAGACTGAGGTTAATTGAAATTCCATTGAACGCTGTCGCTCCCTCCAGGCTGTCAAGCAGCTTCTTGAGCTTCCTCTGAACCTCAGCATCATGTCTCCGGCCCACACCCCCAACTGGGACTTGGTCAGCGACGTCGTCAACTCATGCAGCCGCATCTACCGCTCACCCAAGCAGTGCCGCAACCGCTATGAGAACGTCATCATTCCCCGGGAGGAGGGCAAGGTGACCGTGGCCTGGCTTTAGGATGTGTTTTCATTCATCCGTGTGCTGACAGGCATCTCCACACCACATTTTTTCTGTCTCAGCCCCTTTGAAAAATTTTTAGTCCCGTATTTCTTCATATTGAAAGTAGCAACCCTACTGGGGACTGCCCCCCCCCCCAAGGCTGAGATTCTACAATCACCCCTGTGGTTGATCTTTAATTCATGTGATAATATAAGGTCAGTATTGTTTGTGGTGGATAAACCTTTTTAACCATACGTGACCTTTGCAGTTGGTGTATGAAGCAAATCCCAAGAAGAAAACCAAGAGCATTTACAAGGTGGGTCCCGCTGATTATTTTGTGGGACGTTGTGTCTGTTTTTACTTGCGCATGGCTGACCTGACGGTCTCCTCGCCCCACAGTCCAAGAACAGCCGTCCACTCCGCACGTGTCAGATCTACACGCAGGATGACAACGCCACCCACGTCCAGCTGTATAACAGCCGCTTCGAGCTGATGAAGCTCATCGCCAGCAGGAGGAGCCCTCCCATTAAACCCCTGTAAGTCCCCCCCCCCCCCCGGCCGGCTCCCCAGCGCCAAAGCTAGTTTGACGTGGGGGCTCTGCACACGGCCCAGAGTGCCGCTGCCGTTGGCTGCTGAGACGCCCATTTTCACTGGTTCTCCTCTGCATCATCTGGCAGGTTGGGCATGAACCCGTTCCAGAAGAACCCAAAGCACGCCTCGGTGCTGGCTGAGAGGTGAGCTCCCCCCAAAGAGGATATGTCATGTCTTCCTTATCGATCGTCAGCAACCCAGGGGCCCAGTTCTAACTCTCCTCTCCTTTTGTCTCTCCCACAGTGGGATCAGCTACGACAAGCCCCTCCCTCCCATCCAGGTGGCTTCCCAGCGTGCTGAGAGAATAGCCAAAGAGAAGAAGGTGGGTCCCTGTGTGCTAGCATGTAGACACGCCCATCACTAAGCCGCCGTTCCCCTGGCGACGCTGCTGACGCTAACGGCTAATGTGAGACCCCTGCTGTTTGCCTGGCTCACAGGCCCAGGCGGAGCAGCACAGAGCCCAGCAGCTGGCCCAGCAGCAGCAGCAGCCGTCTCAGCCTGCACAACCTCCACAGCAGCCTGGAGCTGCCCAGGCCCAGGCTGCCGTAGCCCAGCCCCAGACCCCGACCGCTGGTCAGCCTGCACCCCAGGTAGTGGCCCAGGCCCAGGCTGTAGCTGGAACCACCACCGTCCCCAACACTGCAGTCCTGGTGAGGCCTTTGCTCTGTGTGTCTGTGTCTGTGTGTCTGTGTGTCTGTGTCTGTGTGTCTGTGTGTGTGTCTGTGTGTGTGTCTGTGTGTGTACTTAATCCTTGGCAAGCTTGTTGCAGTGATACACCATTACCTTTAATACTGCGGTATTTCTCCCAAAGCAGTTGGGTATCGTGCTTTACTAAAGGTTCAGCAGGGCCACATGAAAGGCACTGAGTTCTGTTTTTCTGACAGAGGAGAGATTCTCTCTTCTCTTGTCAGAGGAACCGCCCAACACAGAATGGCATGTTAATATAGCAACTGAGAAGATACCTGTGAAAGAAGGAACACGTCTGACATGTTTGCATTCCTTTCTCTCTCTTAAGGCGGGGGCCATAAAGGCTGCCACAGCCGGGACGACCATACAGACCGGTAGGCCGACCCCCCGAGACAGCCCCCCTCTAGGCAGGCCCATGCTGCCAGCTTTCCGGAACACCACTCACGCGGTATTTGTTTTTGTGTCCTGCAGCTACTGTAGGGGGGAACGTGATTGTGAACACCATGTCCGGCTCCTACCAGGCCGGCAAGCGGCTCGCCTCTCCTATCATCTCCGGCACTATGGTGGTAAGCGTGGGCACAGCAGAGATGGGCTTGGGGGGGGCTTGGGGGGATCCTAGAATGAGGGCATATGCACTTACACTGTGTATCAAATACTAAGGAGGGGGTTGGGAATCAAACCGTCGGCCCTGGGGTGTGACACTACAGTCTTAATGACTGTGTTGCCCAGTAGTCATGCAATTAATAGTAATGAATAGAACTGATGATTAAATATAAACACTGCCCTATAAATCAACCTTTATTAATGACCTGATGGGGTGTTCTTTGGCGTTCGGTTCGGTTTATTTTATTTTATTCCAAACACACATATGTAACTAATGTAACCGTAAGAAACATGTCTGAAAAGTACTTCTACCCACAAAAAATACATTTGGAGTATAATACCAAGAGTTTACTTCATCACCTTGCGGTGCGTTAACGTAACCCTAACCCTAACCCTAACCCTAACAAAGGCGCGTATGTCTTCCCAGCCGGCCGGGACCACGGGGCCGCAGGTGGTGCACACCCAGCCGCGGGCAGTGCCAGCCCCCGCCGCTTCCGCTGAAGTGGTCACCATCGCCACCAACTCGGCCATCCGGGCGGTCACCCCGGTCAGCACCTCGCCTGTGGTCTCCACCAGCCTGAGCCCGGTGCCGACGCCGACCCGGTCGCTGGTCACGCAGGTGCCGCAGGGTAAGGAGCACGGTCACGGTCCTCCCCCCCCCTGACGGCACGGTCACGGTCCTCCCCCCCCTGACGGCACGGTCACGGTCTTACCCGCACGTGTGTGTGTGTGTGTGTGTGTGTGTGTGTGTGTGTGTGTACACCATCGCAGGCCCTGGCATGCAGCTGCCACCAGGGAAGCAGATCACACCCACGCAGCACCTGCAGATGCTCCGGCAGCAGCAACAACAGCAGCAGCAGCTGCAACAGACGGCTGCCTCCCCCCAAATGAAGTCTGTGACCAAACCCCAACAGCAGCAGGTAAACCCTCCCCCGGAAAATAAATGAGGCCTGTTACATCGTGACAGTGTGAGCCGTGCCCCCACGGGTGCAGCTGCTCCCAGGATTCAGTGTATTATGGTCTGTCCTCATTAGGAAATCAGTGTAGGTATGCAGGGTTTTATGTCTGGGCATATGGTAGCAGGCCAGCGCTGTACTCAGCCTAAGCTTCTCCTTGCCTCCACCCAGGAGATGCTAAAGGCGCAGAAGCACAAGCTGCAGATGGTCCAACAGCAGCAGCAACAGCAGGTGACGGCAGCAGCCGTAGCTGCGGCCACCCAGCAGCAGGGCCAGCAGACCGGGCAGACGCAGCCATCGGCGCAGGCAGCGCAGCCCGGCACGCAGCTGACCACGGTGGCCGCTCCTAGGACCGGGGCGGTGCTGGCTGGCACTACGGTGGTAACACGGCTGGTGAGTTAATGTCATCGCAGTGAATGTTCCGGGTGGGCAAGTTTAAACAAACACACAGGATGACTGATCTCACCTGTGTGTCTCTCCCTGGAGGCGCGGATGCCCAACACGGGCCAGGCGGCCCAGACGGCCCAGGTGACCCTGACGAAGCCCTCGATGGTGTCTGTGCCCGTGGTGTCCTCAGCCGGCGTGACGGTGGCCGGGATCAGCGTGGCCATCGGACAGGCCCAGAAGCCAGGTGGCTCCCTCGTCATCCCCAGAGCTCTTGCTTTTTTTTTGTTTTTTGTTTTTTTAACCTCCCCCAGCCACTGAACCCTGCCCCCCTCTGCAGGCGTCACCGCTCACCCCTTCCAGCCCATGCAAGTGCAGCAGCTCCTGCAGATGAAGAAGCAGCAGGCGGCGCAGCAGAAGGCCGTGCAGCCCCAGCAGGGACAGGCGGCTGGGCAGCCCAAGGTGAGCCTGCCGCCGGGCACCGCCCCTCCCCCAGGCGCCGTGTCTGCCCCCATTGGTGCCCCAAGGGGGGCACAAAGATGGCTGGCCGGCCTAAAGAATTCTGCCTGTTTTCTTCACGTCTTCACATAAGCTATTGTCTTAAATGTGCAAGGAATTCTTTTTTATTTTATTTTAAAATCAGGTTCAAGCATGCTGACGCAGACCAGTATGTGCAGTCAGATGCACGTCACACGTTAATCTACCTCGTAGTCTGTCTTCCCACACGTTTGCCCCCCCACCCTGCGGCTGCACGCATGCTAACCTCAGCTCTGCCCGCCATGCTGCTGTCCCCCCCCCCCCGGACCAGCTGGCCGCGCAGCAGGTCACCGTGCAGGCCTCGCAGCCGGCCCAGCCTGCGCAGCAGAAGGTGACCTACGCCTCAGCCCAGTTGCAGCCCGGCATCAAGCAGCAGTTCTACGCTGCCCCGATGGCCCAGGCGCAGAAGGCAGGGGGGCCGCAGCAGATCCAGGTACGTCGGCGCCCCCCTCCACACACGGAAATGGCAGGCGACTCTGCTGCTTCGTTTCCGCTATCGAGTGCGTAGTGAAAGCCGATTTTTAATTTGTAGGTTGCTAAACTGCCACAGATAGTGCAGCAGCAGTCCACTGTGGCCAACATCCAGCAGATAGTGCCGGCCCCACAGCAGGTGAGCTCCAGCCGTCCTGAAAAGGGGAATTGGAATTGACTCCCAGATCGGTTACGTTGACCTTCCTCAGCAATCGCGTTACTCCTGCTCCTCCTCCTCACCATAGTCTCCCTCCACATCTCCTCCTTGCTCCATCCCGGGGCAGATCCAGGCGCAGCCACAGACCGTGTCGCTGTCCCAGCCTGCCCCCACCCCCCAGGCCCCCGTGCAGGTGCTGTCGACCGCTCCTCAGGTGGTGCCGCAGAAACTCCTGCAGCAGCAGGTGGTGACGGCAGCAGCAACCGCAGCAGCTGCCTCCCCGCAGGTCCAGACGCAGACCCCGCCCCCCCAGAGTCCTGCCCCCCAGGCCGCGGCCGGCTCTGGCGTCGCAGATCAACCTGCTCAGCAGCAACCCAAGAGCCAGGCTCGGGGGGGGGCCACCGTGCGGGTCAAGGCCCCCGCCAAACCCAACAGCGGCACCTAGCCTCTGCAGTACTGACCACCGCCTCACGTAGGCACCCTCGAGCTGTCGTCAGTCGGTTTGTATAAAAGTGGAATTCTGGGACTGATAAAAGCAGTATCTAGAATAACCAACATGGATAACGGTAAGGGCCCCCCTGTGGCTGGGAAGATGCAGTGCAGCCACTGAGAGCCCCTACTGTATAATTGTTACCTGCCACAGAGGAAATCTACAGATTCTCCTTTCCGTGATACCATTTTATAAATCTCCATTTAACAACGGTCACAAAATGAAGTCCTTCAGATGTGTGTCGGGCAGAGACTGGGAATAGGCCTGAAAGATCAGTGTGTCGATATGCTTTCCATATCGCCCCTCTGCTCCTGAACCTGCCAGACGTTTGCCCTTTTTGTCTCTCTCCCTCCGTCTGTCTCCATTTCACTGTGAGTGTGAATAGCTTTATCATGGTACGTTTAAAGAGGGAGGAAGAACATCCATTGTCCCAAACATACCGTATAAATGGTGAGTTGCAGTTTAATATATGTGCAGTTGCCTATTACAGGACCATCTTGTGCGGTTTGTCGGGAATGCACTTGCACAGATGTGAATGTGAAGGCTCACACACCCGGTGCAGTTTCGCATTGACTCTCCCCCAGCCGTTAGCGGTACTTGTGGGACCTTTTTATTTCATAAACTACCTGGCTGCCCTGTTAAATGCACAGAGGTTATGCTCTGTGGCTGTTCTCTCTCCATACTTATCCAGTTGCAAGCAGACTACTAGTAAAACACTGTGGTCATACTCAAATTGTATTTCCTTTTAATTGTTTTTTGCAATCAGTTCACTGGTGTCCTTTTTGTTTGTAACATAAAGATGTAAAATGTTGTAAAAAAATCTTTTAATGTTTAGTTTTTCATCAGTTGCATTCAGTTATCCTGAGTTGTGATCGTGTAAATAACATGAACGTAAGATGAAACATTTGTACTTGTAAAGTAGTTGTGTTTTCATGGAGTTTTTTTTTTTTCTTCTTCTCAGCCTAATTGTAATAAAGTGTTTCTTTTTATACACCATAATGTACTCCTCCTTTGTTGTACTGTTATTCTTAAATTTCAAGAGTTCCATGTGCTCCTGGGTTTTCTTCACCCTGTCCCTGTGCGTGGATTGGCTCTTTGGGCCCCGGGCGTGTGGTGCACACACTCAAACAGTGTTCTACTAAATCAGGGGCATTTCAGCCATGTGGGCAAAAAAAATATTCCTACAGCTTGGTCCAACATGATGCAATAAATTTGTAGAATTAATCAGGAATCCCACAACAAATGATGAACATCCACCCATATAATATTAAAGTGATGGCTTCATGAATTTATTTGACAGCCCAATGCTGAAAATCAGAGATAATCCAAGCTATGCTGGCAGACTCCTATAGGCTCTGCCAGGTTTGGTATATATCTCCTGGTAATGCTGCTTTTGATCATATTGAGTAATATGCTTGTGACACCATGTAAACTGAGTACATTATTTAAATGTTTAATCATCTGGCTGCTTACTGGACAACACATCTGTAAAGTTAATGAGGGAGCTTCTGGGCGTAATTGCAGAGCATGTTAGAATTATACCATTACATTCTCTACATGTTTTCAGTACCTCTAAGCAGTGGCTGCTTTCCAGGGGAAGCATGGGGGGGCAGTGGCTTTTTTCTACCAAGTGCAGAAAATAAAGTGTTTTCTTAAATTACACAATAATTATGGCTGCATGTCCTTATCCAGGAAAGCCATAGTAAAATGTATTCTTTCTTCACATTAGATGTATATGTAAAGGCAAATGGCATTTATGACATTTTTATTTTCATGGGGCAGCGTGTGGCTCAGTGGGCTAAGCCTGTGTGCCTGTAATCAGAAGCTTGCTGGTTCAAACCCAGCCTCAGTGCATCTGCAGGTCCTTGGCCAGTGCTCTTAACCCCCAGCTCTCTGGGCACCGCTATGGGTGGCTGTTGTTTATGGACAACTTACTCTACAAAAAAGAGCAAGTTGAGGGGGGCGTAAAGACAATTTCCCCAAGGAGATCAAAGAAGTATCAATTATTATTATTTTCCGGCGAAATTCACACTTAAATATTTATGTAACTCCATGATCAGGACTCAGCATCAAAACAACTATTCTGCAGTTTCCGAGTCGCCTACTAAACAGTCTAACCTAAGGGCCACTCTTTCTTCTTCGTGGCATGGAAACTGCAGCAGGGAAAATTAATGATCACCTTCTCCCTTCAGATTGCAATGTCTCTGTTCGTCTGGTTTTAACAGCAGCTATTAACACCACTGATCGCCAGCTTCCCTTGAAATGCTGGTCTCACTGGGCAGGCACATTCTAGTCTTAACTGTCATGTGTCACTGATGTATTAGTGTATAGTGAATCCTTAAAATATAGTCAGTCCTGCTAGTTCGTGTGATATCACCGCGAATCGCGAACAGCAGTGATATATTAGTACCCAAGTTCAACACAACATGCAATTGCATTTGTATTTGCGCGACTTCCAGGTGGAGAGAAAAGCACTACATGAACTACAACGCAATACGGTGTTGGTGAGAAACACTACTTGCATGCAGAAACAGCTATTCAAGTTAACAATAGTGAATAGTGAATTGTTGAGGACCCAAGCGGCTGGACCAGACCGAGGGGATGCCCACGTGACACCTTGCTGCGGCAGATGGATGGCCATTTCCGGGGGGTAGGACTGGACCATGTATATGCCTGGGGGGGTCGCCAGCCGGGATCCCGAGGAGTTTCGCTGTGTGGTGGGCGCGGCAATGTGCTATAACTAACAATATTACCATTCCAATGACTAGGCTATGACAACAACTGATTTTCTTTACTTTTATATTATACTCTGCAAACTGTAGCTTATTGATAAAAAAAACATTTTATTTTTTTGTTAAAGAAAAAGAAAGAGGGATCTAATTCAGAAAAATACATGGAGTAAACCCTGAGGTCTGAATTAAGTTTTACAAACCATACATACATATATACACAGATTTGTGGTGAGTCTAAAGCCTATTCTACAGAGTGCAGGGCACAAGGTGTAGGAACAGAGTGTCCAGTCCATCCAGTGGATACACATAATCACCAGAAAAGTCAGGACCAAAATGCAAACTCCACGAGACAGAGCCAGAGGAGGGGCAGAGTGAAAGCCATCTCTGATTCTTATAATTGCATTTAGATAATGATATGTGTATGATCAGACTGTGTTCCCACAAAAAGTAAATAAATAGATTACTCAGTTTCCTTTTTTGAAATGTCAGGAAGAAATATGTTCATCAAAATGGCTAATGCTGTTATAAGGGTAAGGTTGTCATTTCCTGGAATTATCAAAAGAAAAAGAAAAAAATAGGGGATATGACTGCAATCTCGTACCTGTTCCCCTCACACTAATTGCAGAGCTGAATGCCTTATTGTGATAGACTCACTAATGGAAAGCTGTTCTACTCAGGCTCATTGTGTGGATCATTGATGGCTTCAACATTTATTGAACGAGCTGTGTGGGAAAAATGGACACATCACGTCCACATCCTTAGCCTGTGTTGTTCATCATTCATTCGTACAGAGCGACTGTGTGCCCTGGCCTTTCATCTCAAGGCCATAAAGAAGTAACAAGTGAGACTCTCAGGGACCACAGATCTGCTTACAGCGAGGAAGAGGTGTGAGTCTGCGGCTCCCACAACGCCGATCATCATTTTTCAAACAGCTGGGAACATGCCGTTTAAAAGACAGAAGGCAAAAAGCCGAATCGTGTCTGCTTTCAGGGAAGGAATTTTAAATGTGATTTTTTAAATGAGTTTCTAATGAATCAGCATCACTTAAGTTGACTGAACTGGACAATTTAATTCAAATTGAACAGCACAACGTCAAACCTTAATGAATTTTCATGAATCCTCCCCTGAATTAGTAGTAACCAAAGAGTGCCTTTTATAGAGGTTTACATAGATTAGAACACAGATATACATAAAACTTCTCAACACTTTACCTTAGAATGTCTGGCTGCAGCATCCAGACACTTATTACAGCCACACTAAGAGCTTGCAGCAAAAGAGAATCCAACATCAAGGGTCTGAAAGTCAAACTAGAATTTCCAAAAATCCTGTGACTGGCTGACAAGCAACACTGCTGTAATGCACTGACTATCAGTGTTAGTTTTGGATCAGTGTGAGAATGCTTTACTCTCTGTAGGGCAGGCAGACATGGGCCTGCTCTACGTGTTGGAGATTATGTAAGAGAAGTGTAGCCTAGATGGATGGCATTTCTGAAGTTTACAGCCACCCTGAAGAGTGGGGAGTATCAGTATTTTTAGGTGATGAAGCTGATAACTTTTGACTGTACATGAAGGAGTTTAGTACAGCTGTGTGCTTTTTGAGACATCCTGATTTTCCAGAGTTCATGCCTCCCTCTGTCAGCATCTCGGTGGCTAGTTTTTGGCTGGTTTATAATAAGCTTCAATGAGCCTGTATTTGTCATTGAGAGAAAATAACTTTCTTCTACCCTATATATACACTCACCTAAAGGATTATTAGGAACACCTGTTCAATTTCTCATTAATGCAATTATCTAATCAACCAATCACATGGCAGTTGCTTCAATGCATTTAGGGGTGTGGTCCTGGTCAAGACAATCTCCTGAACTCCAAACTGAATGTAAGAATGGGAAAGAAAGGTGATTTAAGCAATTTTGAGCGTGGCATGGTTGTTGGTGCCAGACTGAGTCTGAGTATTTCACAATCTGCTCAGTTACTGGGATTTTCACGCACAACCATTTCTAGGGTTTACAAAGAATGGTGTGCAAAGGGAAAAACATCCAGTATGCGGCAGTCCTGTGGGTGAAAATGCCTTGTTGATGCTAGAGGTCAGAGGAGAATGGGCCGACTGATTCAAGCTGATAGAAGAGCAACTTTGACTGAAATAACCACTCGTTACAACCGAGGTATGCAGCAAAGCATTTGTGAAGCCACAACATGCACAACCTTGAGGCGGATGGGCTACAACAGCAGAAGACTCCACCAGGTACCACTCATCTCCACTACAAATAGGAAAAAGAGGCTACAATTTGCACGAGCTCACCAAAATTGGACAGTTGAAGACTGGAAAAATGTTGCCTGGTCTGATGAGTCTCGATTTCTGTTGAGACATTCAAATGGTAGAGTCAGAATTTGGCATAAACAGAATGAGAACATGATGCATGATCCATCATGCCTTGTTACCACTGTGCAGGCTGGTGGTGGTGGTGTAATGGTGTGGGGGATGTTTTCTTGGCACACTTTAGGCCCCTTAGTGCCAATTGGGCATCGTTTAAATGCCACGGCCTACCTGAGCATTGTTTCTGACCATGTCCATCCCTTTATGACCACCATGTACCCATCCTCTGATGGCTACTTCCAGCAGGATAATGCACCATGTCACAAAGCTCGAATCATTTCAAATTGGAACATGACAATGAGTTCACTGTACTACAATGGCCCCCACAGTCACCAGATCTCGACCCAATAGAGCATCTTTGGGATGTGGTGGAACGGGAGCTTCGTGCCCTGGATGTGCATCCCACAAATCTCCATCAACTGCAAGATGCTATCCTATCAATATGGGCCAACATTTCTAAAGAATGCTTTCAGCACCTTGTTGAATCAATGCCACGTAGAATTAAGGCAGTTCTGAAGGCGAAAGGGGGCAAACACCGTATTAGTATGGTGTTCCTAATAATCCTTTAGGTGAGTGTATATATAAAATCTATAAAGAATTACCATAGTTTTACTTTTTTCCGTATATTGTCATGTATAAAGAAACCCAAAATGAACACTGCAAGAAGACTACTTGATTACTATAAGAAATTATTTAAACAGTATGTGTATAGGAATAATTCTGTCCCAAGCTTTTTGTACCATATAAGCAGTTCATCACTATATCCTTGATTACTATAAGCGGGTTCCACTGTATCTAGTGTTTTTGTTCTCCTGCCTTGTGCTCTATGGTGCCATAGTTTTCAGGCCTATCCCTTCAACCTGTACTGAATAAGCAGTTGGAAGATTGGTG